GGGGGCCGTGGGGTGGGGGGGCTATCGGGTGGTCCCGGGGGGCGGTTTTCGCACTTTGGGGGTCTGTCGAACTCGGACCACCACCCCGTAGCCCCCGTCACGCGCGCGCGTCCCGCGGGACAGCGTTCAATTTTTTCGCGCGCGCGCGCGTGTAGTGTGTTTGAACGCGATTGAACGCGGGGCTGGGGGGTTTGAACGCGGGCCTGGGGGGTTTGAACGCACACGTTGGAACATGAACGCACGTTCACGGTGTTCATACGGTTACACAGGAGGAAGTGTCGCCACCGCTTGAGTGCGTGGACGAAGGCGATAAGTTCCTTCTTGCGTGCATCATCGATTGAATGCACGACCTGCACTTTCTTGCTGAAGTATTCGACTGGGTGCCAGTCCACGCCATCATGTTGTTCGAGGACGACACCAATGCCATAGCCGGACGCATCCGTAGTGACGCGTGTTGGCAATAGAAAGTCGTATATTTGCAAGACTTCCACTGATAGCAATGCGGCCTTAAGGGCCAAAAATGATCCCCGCGCATCCATCTCGAAGTCAAATGGCCGGTCCTCGCATTGAAGCTTGGATAAGTGGGCCGCAATCTTCGAGTATCCTTTGATGAAACATTGGTAGTAAACGCCATGGTCAAGGAATGAACGGACATCTGTGACGTTCCGCGGCTCCAGCCAATCTTGGATGGCTTGAATCTTGTCCGACAACGGACTGATGCCTTGTGGAGTGACAAAATGGCCCAAGTATTCCAACTCTTGACGTGCGAACTCGCACTTGTCGCGGGTGGCTTTGTACTTGGCACGACAGAGCGTCTCCAACACTCGTCGAAGATGCTCGAGGTGTTCCTGCAAGGTTCGGCTATATACGAGGATGTCGTCTAAGTAAACCAGCACGAACCGGTCTAACATTGCACAAAACTCGTTGGTCATCACCACTTGAAAAGTCGTCGGGGCGTTGGTGAGTCCGAAAGGCATGACGACCCACTCAAAATGCCCGTACCGTGTCTTAAACGCGGTCTTGTAGCGATCTTGCTGGCGTATTGAAATCTGATGATACCCTGACTTTAAATCCAACTTGGAAATTTTTTTTGCGTCGCCCAAACGCTCCAGAAGGTCGTCAATACGAGGAAGAGGTCCCACGTTCTTGACGGTTTGTGCATTGAGCTTGCGGTAATTGATGCATTGGCGAAGATCCTTGTTTTTCTTCCGCACGAAGAGAACAGGCGCATCATAGGGTGAGCTACTAGGCCGGATCCAGCCTTTGTCCAACAAATCGTCGAGTTGCCCGCGGAGTACTGTAAGTTCCTCCTCGCTCATGCAATAGATGCAACCTTTCGGCGGCACGGCACCGGCCTCGAGAATGAGTTTGTGGGAGATCGGCCGATCCGGCACCACGCCGGTAGGTGACTCGAAGATGTCGGCGAATTCGTCAAGCAACCTTACCACACGGGGTTCCGAAGACAAGTCTGTGGGTTGAGATTCGGCTGCCGCGACGGTGTGAAGAAAACATAGGCTTATCTCGTCGGTCCGCTAGTAAGCGCAAGTGGCCCGAAAAGATTTGGCTGTTACAACTTGGCACCGGATCGAAGGGTGCGGAAGAGGGATGGTACATAGTACTTCGGTGCCAAAGGCGTCACGGACTGTAAGTGTCCGCCGATGGAAGCTGACCGTGTGATCCGCACTTGCAAGCCAAGGTATGCCCAAAATGATGTCGAAGTCCGTGTCCAAGACGTCAAACGTCACCGGTTCGCGTGCATGAAGTGCGAAATAGACCGGTACGGCCTCGATGTAGCGGTCAAGGAGTTGTTGCGTCCTACCGTCCGCCAACTTTATCGTTGTAGGGTGTGCCTTCCTTCAAACTTGTGGTCCAAGGCCGGTCCTTTGCATAAAGGGCTGGCTAATGAAGTTGCGAGTCGCATCGGTATCCAGCAAAGCGCTGCAGGACGCTTGCCCAACTTGGATGCGGATGTAAAGGAGTGGTGCGTTGTTGTCGTCGTACCACTGCGTGCGAAACTCGCAGGCCACCTTGCTAACGTACGCAAGAATGTCCCCCACCGCGACTTCATCCTCTGTTGGCGAAGTTGGTGGTGCATAGAAGGCTAGGTATGTATGTAGATGAGCGCTAAGAGTTGCGCCTTGTGCTCCAGAAGGGCCCACTCCGCCAGATTCTTATTCACCTGGGAGCAGCGGTCATCTGTCAAAACCTTGCCTAGCTGCTCCAACAGGTACTCCCTTCTGGAAGTATCTGTTGCAGCCTCTAGCTCAACTGCCTCCTTTCTCTCCAATTCTGCAAGCAGCGCCTGCTGCTGCTGCAGTCTTTCCTGTAGCTCCTTTTGCCGAGTAGCAGCCAGAGGAGTAGTAGGGGTGGAGGTAGAAGGTTGTGGTTCTTCTACCTTCATCACTACTTCTACCTGTGGCTGCTGCTGAGCACCCTGGTCCGCCATTTTCCTCTTTCAGAAACACCAAAATAAACAGACAACAGTTGAGTATGCAGCGATATCAGATTCCTTCAGACACTCAGAAATCGCTGTTGTCTCAGACACAGAAGTCAGGTGGGTGAATAGGCAACAAGCGATTTGGGTTGGAACAGTCTCTCTGGGGTCAGAGGTCAGACAAACAGTTAGTCAAGTAAATCAATCACACGATTTCCTTTTACTGACCCTGCACCACACTGGAGTTAGTATACACCACTTCAATAGTTCCAGAGATACCCTAGATTTCTAGAGCCCACTAGAAAACAAGAGTAGTCAGTGAGAATGAAAGATAATGGCAAGTAGAGACAAAAATGATTAAACAATTGGAGCGATTCAGTCAGGGACACAACAGCCTAGCCCAAACTCTAATGACTCTGGCGGCCATATCCTGGGGTATGGCGAAATACAATATTCATTGTTTCCGATGAAATACCGCAAATCCACTCAAGCGCTTCCGCACTACTGACAATTTTTAAATTGCGATTCACTGGCAAGTGACAGAATTGAATTATGACGAATAGAATTGGAGTTATGACTGACCCTAGCTAGCACAGGCTAAAATTAGACTCAATGCAAAACTACAATTCACAGTATCTCTACTTTTCCAGTACAAAATTTACAATTTAAGCATCCCAGATCGATCGCAATACAGTCAGGCAGTCACAGAACAATTTTGGATTGAAAAGAGTCAACCAAGGGTAAGAAATAAGCAGAGGAAGGTAGGAGAGGGATGACTATGGTTGTCATGCAGTCTGCGATTTCCAAATCCAGTCACAGTCAGACAGATAGACCATGAATACTAACTAATCTAACCCTATCTGAATCGCTATATATTCCCCCATCCTTCCGATCAATGGACATCCCCCCCTTCACCGGCCTTCCCCATGAGGACGTCTTCGTCTTCCTCAAAAAACTCTATAACGCCTTCTCCCTCCACGATGTCCCTGTCACACACTGGCTCCCTATTGCTAGCACAAGGTTGCAAGAAGGCGGCGCCCATTGGTGGTACACCGAACGAGCCAACCGCCAACAAGCGAACACGAAACCCTATTGCTTCCTTGAGTGGGCCAACCTCATCACCTGCACATTTCGACTGCATAAGATGGTCAATAACTACTTTGAGCAACTCTGTCACCTTCGAGTGAACGGCCCGATCGACTGTTTCGTCCAATACGTCAGTGCACTGTGGAAAAACATCCCCCCTAACTAAGTCAGCGATGCCGCATTCATCTCCTGCTTCAAGCGGAGATGCCACAAGGACCTCACCGCCTCCCCCGTCCACGACCCCCTAATGTCCCTCACGGATCCCCTCAAGCGTGCCATTCACCTAGGCAAATTCCTCACCCCGTACAAGGACGTACTCACATCCACCCCGCCCCGCCCACGATTCT